TTCAACCCCAGCCATTGTACACAGACAGCTGAACTACTGCCCTTATTGTACTATTAACCATAGTGTTATAAAGCATGAATATTTTGGTTCTTCTTGTTTTTCAGAAACTATTTTGCTATAAATAATCCAAGTATACATTAATTTTTTAGGGATTTTTTTTCTCCTTGTGTTGTTCAGTATTTTATTAAACACATTGTTCTTAAGAGTAGTTATTCAATACAAACATTTGGTTGCTAAGCATTCTAGATATTTATATTTTTTTTATAAGGTTCATCCTTCTAAAATATAGGAACTGAAAACCAGAGCTACTAGATTATATACCACAAAGTAAAAGAATTTAGCTATTTTCAAAGATTATTTACACTCTATATTAGTGTTATAATTATAGATGTACTATGTTTAAACTGTAAAATAATTTTTAACATTTCTGAAATGAAACTAATTTTTAAAATAGTGCTCTTGATTTTATAAGAAAATGATATTTTCTTATCATTTGTTTGCCAGTATTTTCTTTCTCACTTATATTAAGCATAAGTACTTCAGCATTTCAAAAGTACTCAACTCTTGCTTTGAACCTAAAATTGGTAATTTTAAGAAACAACTTCAATATTGTTTCTTGTGGATAGATAATAAAGAGATAGATAATAAAAAAGTTTAGAGACTATTTAATATTAACTAACAGCATTTGAACAGAGTAAGCTTTAATATGTGGAGAGGTAAGTTTCTTACTGAGGAAAGGAAATCCTTCATGTATTTAAAAATATTTACAGATTCTTCAGTAGATAATCTAGGCCAGCAAAGTAACCAAGAAAAGCAGCAGTAGACTATGACCCATGGAATTGAATCACTGTCAGAAAAGTCACAGAGAACATACTGGGGTCTTTCTACTTCTTGTCATTTTGTGACACATCCACAAAGCACTGTTATCTTACAAGTTGTTTAATGGTCACCATCTTACATGAGCATTTCTTCATAGTTGTCCATCTTTGTCACTGTGTTCTGAAGTTTCAACCCCAGTGCCTCTACTTGACATTGTAAATCTGAAATGATACAGGGTATTCCTCTGATTAGTATATTTTAAGTATCCGGATATTTTCATACAGTAAATCCTGTTCTTTTAAAGTTGACATTCAGCTCCTAAAGAATAATGCAGCTGTTTATACCACTTTGCCTGTATGACCACACACAACTCGCTGTCAACTACCCAGCCCTCCCTACCCTAACACCTCATGGAATTAATGGGTTTCAACAGACCTAATGTGTTGGCCTCTTTCTGCCCCTACCATCATGCTGCTTTTCAAACAGGCTAAATTTTATTAATGTTTTCAAAGGAAATTTACATAGCCAACACACATATGAATTTCTGATCATGTGGCTAACTTCTGAAACACTTGATTGCCTGAGCTTGCTCTTGTGGTCCGGAACTGAGAAGCATTGCTGAGTCCTCTTGGTAGAACTGAAACAGACAAATCATGTGCCAGGCACACAGTAAAGAATTTCTTAACTTTGGGTAGCATCTAAAAGGCATTTATTGCAGTAACACGCCAACTTTAAAAAAAAAAAAAAATAAAAAAATAAAAGGCATTTAATGACTTTCAAAGCCAGGAGAATGCAAGCAGGAAATTGGCTTCCACAGTCTTGAACTGGAGAATTGAAGCAGTTTTTGAGGAAGATTATTCAAGCAGCCGTATCTAACATGTGTGGGGATGCAGAACTGAAACTAAAGCAGAAAGAACAAATGGCTTGAACTGTCTAAGTCCTGCCATTGGCCTGTGTGTGGAAACTGAGATCTGAACCCTTAGCCCCAGAGATAGTCCCTGCTGGTACTCTTTTTGAGAACAAGTTAAAGTAGAAAATGAACACAAATAGTCTAATTAGTTTGTTTCTACAGAAAAAGTAATTCAAAACACTGGAATTATAATATTTCTATGTTCCATCTGCTTGGGTGTTTTAATGACAATGACATTTTAATAGTAAACTTTGAAATCTTTATGCATTCATACAAATACATATATGTCTTCAACCTGCTTTCTTAACTTTGTTTTATGAAGACCTTGTTCCTTAAATCAGAAAACAAATTCACTCTAAACAAAAGTTTTAATTGGAATTTACCAGACATTTGTATAAATTTTTATGTTTATCTAGTACTTTCATGTACTAGATAAACATATTTTTTAATTAATGTTTAATTAACAAATAACATTTTTATATATTTATTGAGTGCAACATGATGCTTTGAAATTTGCACATATTGTGGAATGGCTAAATTGAGCTAATTAAAATGTGTATTCACTCACTTTTTTTTATGGTGAGGATGCTTAAAATTTACTTAGGGATTTTCAAGACTATACTACATTGTTATTAACTATTGTTGCTATATTGTACAACAGATCTCTTGAACTCATTCCACCTAAGTGAAATTTTGTGTGCTTTAATCAACATCTCCTTACATCCATTGTTTAATTTTATCCCTCACACTGCCATGTAGGTGCTTATAGCCCCACTTTTCAGATCAGGAAAAAATGGTATCCTCTCTGATTCACCTGGTGTATTACAACTAGTAAATGAATTAGCCAAGAGTCAAACTGACTGAAGATTTTAAACTCTGCTGAGGGGATCCACTTGATGTGGCCCCTCAAAACAAGATTCGATGTGGATTTGATAGATAATATTTGTTGGGTACATCTTTTCCATTTATCAAGTGATATCATTATATTGAAGAAAAGAGAATACAGAGAGTTTATTTATGAGTATAAATTTTTGAAAACTTGATTCTCTTATGAAGGATCTATAATGTGTTGCTTTGTTACTAAGCTCAAGCGGGCTTGCAGAGGAGTTCTATTTACACAGGTAAAGCCAAAAGATTTCAACACATACTCTCAAGAATGAGGAGGGAAGGAAGTTGATGCTTGTTGATGGTGTTGTATGACCAGGCACTTTGCAGAGTGCTTTCTCCTATATCATTTCATTTGTAATCACAGCTACCACGAAAAACAGGTACACATTTTATTTTTACAGGTGAAGACTCTAAAGATCAGAGTAATTAAATTATCAAAGCTATTTACAAGTGATCCTGTGATTTAAACTCAGGTCTACCTGATCCTAAAGCTGTTCTTTCTCACACACTGATTTTTGAAATATAAAAGCTGCAAGGGATTACAATATTTTTCCATAAAAGTGTAGCTAGCAAGACTGCAAATCTGTTACCATATTCCTAGAATCTTTAAAGAGGTATATTTAAGACAAATGAAAAGTGTTATTTTATGTGAAATATGTAGTAAACTGGTATAATTTCAAACTTCAAAAGATTTAAATTTTTGAAAGTTTAATAATTACTATAACTCTGATGAAAGATATTAAGACAAATATGTTGTCATTGTGACTGAGTTTATGAGACTGACATCAGAGAGAACAATTATGCCTTACATAAAATGTCCCTTTGGTCAGGATATAATCCTTAACTAGATGAAGCATGGGTCTGAGCCTACATAGTAAATTTTATGTTATTACTTCTAAATGTAGCTATAGTTAAAAGGAAGAATTATTATCTTAAAAACAGACTCCAAAGAACTGGTACATGATATGTGAATTTTATTCAATTAATTCTCAATTACCTGAGAATTAGTAGAGTAGCAGATGGTAAAAATGACAGTTAATTCACAGCCCATTTTTATTGCATTGAAAAAAATTTTTAAGCTTACATTTGAATATGTATGTGCATCATAGTTCCAGAATTTACCAGGGTTAAAGTAAAATCAACTATACAATCATGGCCTAATTCAAGAAGAAAGAAAAAGCTATTCTACTTTCTAGTATTATTCTCTTACCCTATCCACCTAAATCTCCCTTTCTCCCTCTTTCAATATAAGCATAGGTATTTCAGCCTTTAATTCAGTCAGTAAAAAAGCTACTTCCTCAAAGATTATTTGCTATATATTTTATAGCATCTCTGAGTAAAATTGGGAAAGTAAATAAATGTTTTACTCTAAAAAATAGGGACCTCTGAAGGCTGTCTTATGAAGTAAACAGAAACAGAAAATACAAGTAATATCAACAAAAAAAATTTATATAAACAGAGGAGATACCACATAGACTTGAGAAAAAAAGATTCACTATAAATAATTCATAATGTAAAAAGGCCACCAGCATATAATCCGGAGTGATTAATATATTTTAATTTCTTTTTTAAGAAAAACTTTAGTCAGATTTTCTCTGATCAAGAAGTGCTAAGAGTTATTTTTTAAAAGGATAGGATATATCTTTGCTGTTCTGAATGAAGTATAAGCATCCTACTCATTTATTATAGGTTCTGGTAGACTAGGAGGGTCCTTTTGTATTCAGAAGCAGAGTGCCCAGTTCCTGTCCTTGTATAAAGGAATATAGTTAGGATAAGCAGCAAAGAGATTAAGCCACCTGCACAAAACAGCTCCTTCAGTTTTTGAGGCAAGGAGTTCTTAAATAAGTGTATTGTTCTGCGCAGTCCTTCTCTATAGTTAAATAAATTCAACTTCAATTTTCGGTTATTCAGCATGACATTGGATTATGAGGCAAAAGGCCCTAAATGCCTACAAAAAGAAAGAAAGCATTGGCTTTAAACACCATGCAGATGTAAGGCGGAACCCATGGAAACAATCCAAAATTTACAACAGCAAATTCTACTATGTGACAGTGTTCTTTGCAGATATTAAATAAGAAGCAAATGATTTTAAATGAACAAGACAAAAAAGAGCTCTTAGCCTCTCTTCATACGAAGCCAGCTGCTTGCTGGATAGCATTACACAGGCATCAGATTTGGGGTAATTAGACATTTAAGAGAATCTTGTTATTCTGAAAGGTTTCTAGAAATTACAAATATAAAAAAGGTATTCATAGTTAGCTATTTTATAGGATGATACAAAACTTTATAGTCACTTGGAGCAGATATTAAGTTAGCACAGTGTTTTAGAAAATAATAAATAAAAGTGTTATAGTGGAAAGATATTTCAAGCGTAAAACTTCCTGGATAAAGAAAACACCAAAAATTTTAAGAACTGGTTCAAAGTAGTACTACATGGAGAAAAATGGTTCCAAGTTAAAGCAGCAGAAGGGATGAACAAGCAGGCAGGAGAATTAGCACCAGAGATCAGAGGAAATTTATTCTTAATGAGAAATTGAAGGTTATATATATATTTTTTAAATGGTAGAGATCATCAATGATAAAGAAAAACAAAATCTCAACACTTTTAACAAACTGTCTAAGATAGGATCTTATAGAAGTATCAGGCTGAGCTCTAGAGCCCAACACCTAATTTCAAATCCTGGGTCTGCTTCCTACTAACTGTATGACTTTAGGCACTCCAGTTTTACCATCTGTAAAATGGTCACTGTTGCACAGGACTGTTCTGAGAGTTAAATTACTTAATCTATGTAGAGAAGAGAACAGTGGCAAGAGCACTGGGAGCACTGAGGATGGTGTTAAGGCCACTCCTCTACTTCTGCTTCAAATCTCATCACTCCTGACCTTGAGGACTGTGTTCTTGAACTTGGGCCTGGTGTTACCAGTGATTATGTTTGTATGGAGAAGAGTGAAAACAGGAGTTTTTTTCTTTAACAATTTATAGAGCAACTATGGCAAAATGTTAAAACTTGGTATATATGGATGACAGGTTCACATTCATTTGTTATATTATTCTCTGTATTTTTCTGTGCTAGAAAAAATTTATAGATACATTATTTAGAGAGAGACCTTGCTTGCACAGATCAAAGATGATAGCATGCCCTGTACTAAGGAGTCTAATCAACTCTGTTCTGTGTGTCCAAGGTATAAAAGAAAAACAAAAAGGGGAAGAAAAATTGTTGAAGGATGTGGGTAGAGGCAGGAGATGAATTTGAAACAGCAGTGAAAGAATAAGGAGTAGAGAAATCCAATTGTAGCTGAAGGGAGATGTTTGCTTTGTTTTGCCTTTAAAACACATGATATTGGGACACGTTCATTTGCATTTGGGAATGATCCAATCTAGAGAGCTTCCACATTTGCAAATTTAATGATCTGCATCTTACA